AAATTCCATCTTTAGCTCCGAATATATTCACTAGTTAAAATCAATTAGGTTTGTATTCTGTATTCAATCATAGATTAAGGATTTTGTATCTAAATATTGTATTAAATTAAAATGGTTGTTTTCATTAGGTATATACAATGTACAATTAGGAATTTTAATAGATTCCAAAATTTTAGAAAAACAGACATACTTCTCACGTTGGTGGGTCACTGTTGTAGGTGAGAAGTTGGGAAGATAGAGGGGAAATTTAATGTACAATATCTGTACGTAACGATTAACTATTTTTAACGAAAAACGGTTCAGAGCGGAATTCGGTTAATAGTGTTGCTTTGTCAACAATATATATGCCATATTATGGTAAAATAATTACATATGCCTTATATATTTTCTTTAATATTATTTTTTACTAAAAAGATTTTCGTCAAACTTTGATATTAAAATACTTATAAAAAAATTTCTACATTAGGTACACTATTTTATTTATTTTTTGACCTTAAAGTACGAATTTTAATGAACTTCCAGTTAAATTTTCTAGCATTTCTGTTTGGTATAAAAATGTTTAATTTTAAAAATTGGTACCATAGAGTACCTACCGAACAAAAATTTCGTAAAAAAAACCAGTAAAATAAAAATGTCTATAAATAGCTCAAAAATGTCTACAATGGTTTGGAAATTTTATCACGTAAATTTCAAGTCTCTACAAATATTTTAAGCTAAACCAAAATATTAAAAAATTGAAAACAATACATTTCGTACATTTTCCCGGTTTTTCTCATTTATAAGAAAAACTCTTAGGAAAATTAAAAACTTGCCTTGTTAATGTACTGCTTCAGTCAGTTTTCTTTTAGAAAAAGTTCTATATTTGAAAATCGGAGACAAATTTTTGGTAGAAATATTGTCCACAGAAATAATAAAAAGGCCGTAATATAAACATCATTGCAAAACATTTGTAACAATACAATTTGCTCAGAATCTAAAATCTATAATAAAAGACCAATCACATTTTATTCTTATTACCTATAATATTACATTCCATAGACCTTGTTTAAGCTGTTTATTTTAAACTTGAATAATCGTATAAATAAATCTTTTATTTAACAAACGATGGATATTATTTATTTAATATAATATGTATATTTTTTTTAATATGACTTCTATGATATACTCATTGACCATAGTTTAGTCACCTAGCATATCGATATCCAGTAACATAAACCTTGAAGGCCTAGAAAAGGGTTAGTTGTATTGCTTGTATTCAAGCCCGTATTAAAAGAGATGCGGATTAGAGGGCCTTAAGACTTGGAGTAATTTTAGGGGCTTCAGATTTTTTTACGGGGTATAATATATAACTATACCTATATTATAAAATATACTTAGCTAGGTGTATTCAATAAATATAACTTCAAAAACTTACCTTTTTTTTTTTTCTACAATACTATAATAAACTTTGCAGAAAACGTCTTATAAATCTATAGCCTGCAGGCTGCAGTCAAGCTCTTCTCAGAATCGTCTTTCGAACGCGGTGATTTATTATTGCTTTCAAATTTATATCATTAATATAGAAAAACTAGGCAGCTTTCGCCAAAATGATTAAAGTGAGCCGAGCGCTCAACAGCTAGTCAGCTATATTATAATTTATATTAAATATATTATTTTGCATTCATGTCTATAATTTATAACATGTTATCATTAAATGTATTAAAGAATATCATTAAGATGAAAAATAAAAATAAAATAGAAACTGAACATAATTGAATACATAACGGGACATACCTATTACTTACATACACTGGTTCTACTTTGAATATTGCAATATATTATATTATGTAGTAACTAGTATACTATATTATATTATTTACTCATTTGTAACTTTTAATAAAAACAAAAGACAACTTTATTTTAGTAAAATAGGTACTTTTGTCTAGTTTTTTTTTTTTTTTTGTATATTCCGAAACAGTTTAGTTAACATTCAACGAGTAAAACGCATATTATATATACGAGTATATCTAATAAGCTAACCAGGAAATCTAATACATATAATATGATGTCTATAGTACGAAGACACATTTAATTTATTCAACTTTAGGTATGGTTTCTTTATAGGTTATACAAGTACGTAAGTACTTACGTGCAATAGTAGGCTAAAATAAGGTATTCACATGAAAGTTTTATCAAATAAATAGTAATTACGTTTTTAACAAAATACTCATTACTTATTTAGTACACCATTATATAAGTCCATTTTCTCTTTAACACTTTTTAAAAAAAGTATACAGTCAATGCTCGGTAAGTATAATATGTTGAGGCCATTACGTAAAAAGTGTTGCCTGTACACTTTTTTAAAGTTTTTTGTATGTAAGTAATTTATACACAAAGATAATTTTTTATGATATACAACATTTGTTTACTTATTTATTTACTAATTATACTTTTAGAACAATATTTTAATAAATCATTGCCGTTCGAGTTTAGATCGGTAGGAAGCCTAAAAGGAATTTGAATAATGCTTGATAATTTACTAACCCTCGTCATCACTTATAGTACCTATAAATAGAACATAATAGCAAATAAAAACCTATAATAATAGGACTATTTTTATAAATGGAAAACGATTTTAAACTATAAAAATCGTTGTTTTGTGTCAACCCCATACCAATAAAATTGACGGTAAACCGTTTTGTTTATTCTATACATAATTCGATATACGGATTGTTAAATATTTCCAGTTGGGAGTTAACAAATTACACCGTCTGGCATCAACAAGGTCGCATTCCTCGTCTAGACTCTTCTATACAGCATTAACTTCTATTTATCTGCACACAAATACCTACTTACAAAAAAATAATAATTCAGATAACACTAAACATTTGAACAATAATTTCTCTAATGACACCGAAATTCACTTACCACAAAGATTAATAGGTAGATACTATAAATAGATAGTTAGGACAGTCAGGTTGGTAGTGAAAATCGCCATAAAATAACCTTAGTAAAATTACATTTTTAAACCAATTCAACGTATGTACTCATCGTTTAATTAAAATTTGAGAAATGTATACTACTTAAAGATGAAAAAAAAAAGTGGACATACTTCACTCGTGGCTGCAGCCACTGTTGTGGGTGGGAAGTTGGGAATTTAGGACACAGAAGGGAATTTAATATGTATCTGTAAGCCACGATACACCATTGCTAACGAAAAAGCGATTCTGAGCGGAGTTCAGTTGATAGTAATGCTTTGTCAACAATACATGTATCATACTATGGTAAAATAATTAAATAGGCATTATATATGTTCTTTAATAATAATTGTTTAATATTATACTGATTTTCTTGTTTTTCCTACGTTTTTATCGGTTTTTCCTCAGGTTTTTTTCGGACTTTAAATCTTATGACAAAATTCCTGGAGAAATCGAAAAATGACTTCTTTATAGTACCTTCCCAGTCAAATTTTCTTTTAGAAAAAGTACTATTAACAAAATCGGATCAAAATTGCTGGTAGAAAAGTTTTTCATAGAAATAAATGACCGTAACATTTGACTAAAACATTTTGTATATTTCCCCATGTTTCCACTGTTTTTTTTTTTGGTTTTTCATATTAGAAGAAAGAACTCCTGAGAAAATCGAAAAATTACGTTCTTAAAGTACCACTCCAAGAAAATTTCCTATCAGAAAAAGGTCTGCATCATATATATCGGAGTAAGCTTTCTTTTAGACATTAAGTGTTCACATAAAAAAAGAAATTTAAAAAACACTCAGAATCTAAAAAAAATATTTTTAAAAACTAATATTTTTACATGATATTTTACGATAAACCATTGCTAACGAAAAACCAATTCTGAGTTCAGTTGATAGGGTTGCTTTGACAACAATATATATTAAATCATATTATGGTAAAATACTAAAATGATTACAAAAATGTGCGTTTCTATGACAACAATAATCGTTTAAAAAAGTTTAAAATAATAAAAACTTAATAATAACAAAAAATAAATAAAAGCGGTTGCCAATGACAACCTTATTTTTAATCTTTCAATCTTTTTTAACTTAAAGTCCGAGGTTTTCCTCATTATATCGAATATTAAAGAGAATTTCAAAAAATGACCTTTCTAAAGTATCATCCAAAAAACATTTCTTTTCAGAAAAGGTGCTATATTTAATAATCAGAGTAAGCTTTCTGGTAGAAAAATGTTCACATGAAAAAAAAAACATTATTGTAAAACCAATACATTCCTCGCTCCACTCAGAATCTAAAAATTATACAAATTGGTCGTTTTACATAGAAATAATTTATTTTAATAGGAGAGATTATTTAAAATAAGTTATTATTAGACAAAGATATGTTAAGAACTTTAACCGAAGAATTTATGGTTTTTTATTATCTAAAATGTATTGATATAAGATATTATTTTTAAAATCAGTTTGAACTTTTTTAATATGAGTATTATTAAAATAATTTTTTTTTATTTTCTTGTGTATGTGTAATTTTTCTAAAACTGAATTAATTTATATTTTATTTTGGGTATTTAATATTTCTAAGTCTGTATTAATATCAAAACTTATATTATAGTTATTTTCTAAAACATAATTAGCAAAATTTGAATTAGAGGCAATTTTTTTAAATTTTATTTCAAAATTATGTTTTTTATATCCTTTTTTTAAATGTATATCTGCCTTACCTATATAAAATGTATTACAGTTACATTTAAGTTTACATATACCAGCATTTTCAAAAGAAAAAGGAAATTTTCGTCAAGTTATTCGTTCAATTGTTTATATGTTTGATTAAATTATTATTTTCTTAAAAGCGATTTTTACATTATTTGTATTATTGTTCAGAATTTTAGCGAATTAGTTATACATATTATTTTGATATTTCATACTACAATAGTTAACAACATTATTTGGCGAGTTGTGTTTTATTTTTTCTTTAACACATTAATGAATATTTTCATGTAATTATATCAATGATTGTTGTGTGGTGTCCAAAAACTTCTATCTTCTTAGTCTGGGCAGTTTTGTTGTTTTTTTAATTCCAATGCATACGGTAAAAGATCTTCAATATATTTAATTCGAGTTTGGTTAGACGGATGTGTAGATAACCACCATACTTCTTTATGATTGATTGGATTCATCTTTTCAAATTTCTTCCAAAGTTGTGGTGCTTGTTGAATATCTATACACGCGTTGGCCGCTAGCATTAGACCATACTTGTCTGCTTCGATTTCTTGGTTACGTTCATAAGGTAATAAAATTGTTATATCTTTTAAGAAATAACTTAACAAATAACCCAAAATGGCATCTGGTATCGGAAAGACTGCCCATAATAATACAACTGGTAATAGCCAAAGCGTTTCAAGTAAACGTTTCAGGCTTAAAAACATAGCATGATGGTTAAGTAAACAATGAGCCATTTCATGCGATAAAACAATACCGATTTCTGCATCATTGGCCATATCTAACAGCCCTGAATAAACCATAATCAGGCCGTTTGGTAAAACCATTGCATTTAATTCCGGATTGTTAACGATTATTAAAAACCATTTGCGATCATTAATATGATCGTAAGCTGTATTTGCATTGATAATTTGTATTGCTATGTATAATGCTCGCCTGTAGTACTGATGTGATGGCGGAAACACTGTATGTTGGTGTTCATTTAATAAATCATCAGCTATTGCATTGGCAAGTTCGATTATTTGTTTCTCCGAAAATAGAACCAACCTACGCTTTCCGGTTATTGGGTCTATTTCTATGTGAGTAGCATAGTATAGAGTAATTAAACCAATGCAACTAGCTATAGCAGCAGTTATTTGTTTGCGATAATTGTGTACATCATGCCAAAATTTACGTTTCTCTTCCGTACTTAGTTTTAACCACCATTGACGTATATATATTCCCAAAAATATGGCCAAAATTTTGGTGACCGGGTGCAGTACCAATGTTATAATTTTAGTTAATGGTAACTTGTTCACCGGTGAAACTCTAAATTGAAATTAAAACATTTCATATTACATATACAATGAAAGTTTCATTCAGGATTGGGTTTAAAATTTAATTACCCGATAACTGAATGAAAACTTATCAATACATTTTAAAATATGTACACAAAATATAGTTATTTATGTCAGGTTTCAAAGTGAGACCCTTAGCTTAAAATTGTGTAATAACCTGTATTGTAATTTCCTTTGATCGTTTAATTTCCATCAAAGCTTATGTTTAAGTACAATGAATAAACGTTTTAAATTAAAACGTCAGTTATTCAATATTACAATGGCGAACATACCTAAAATATCTTTTAGATTCCAAACAGCTCCCGTTTTTGAGAACTACAGGAGATTGATACTGATTGGCACAAACTGGTTTAAAATCGGTGTTGACAAGCTTTTGACAAGTGTTTGCCAACGACTTGTATTTTCTGTCCGGTAATCGGAAGCTGACGGTCCGAAGAGAGCACAGCTTAGTTAGTCCTCGGCGAAACATTTCTATCGAATGTAATACGAAGGAACTTCACGTTTCTGAATATTATAAAACACGAACATAATAATTTCGAAAACTTACGAATTATTTACTTAAATAGGAACGTCTGTGTGGGATTAAAAAGTAAAATATTGTAAATTAATTCTGAAAATGGATCAATATAATTTGCATAATCATTTGATCATAATTCATAATATTCAGTTAGTAAGTATATCTAGGGAGAAACCGATCTGATACGCACCGTTCGTAATAAAATATATAGATATGTAGTCAGTGACGGTTTTAGGAATTTGTTCTGGGAAGGTCTATTAATATCAACTATATATTTAACATAATCTCGGAAATATCGCCATCCCTTACTAGGTATAATCGTAAAAAAAACTTTGTAAATGTATAAACCGAAACGTTGACATACCTTTTTATATTGAAAATCATATATCTCGAAATGTGATGTTGGTATTATTGACGGTGAATAAATATTTCAGTATTCCAAATGCAATAATCAACTCATTCGACGAAAAATACTTGTTTGTCGGTCGTTTTTTACTCGATACGTTGCCCGGGTAATATCATATAACTGACTTAATAATATTACAATTAAAAACTAATATTTAATGTTGTTAACTTATTTGTGGGACAGTTCTGGTAATTAATGTAAAATAATTTGTATGTTTTACACTCATCCGGATCGCTCGAATTTAAAAATTTGTTGTACACTTTATTAGGATAATAATATAATTATATAATGTTATGGACCTACACTTTGTTTTATCATCATCTATACCTATGTCTGATCTACCTTATCCACTGATCTAGATGAATTCTTTATTCACTGGAGTTACTTTGATAAAGTTATGGATTAAATAGGTAGTTCTGTGAAACATGCGGCACAGTAGGACAGTGCGTATAAATCAATCATCATTTTAAACACTACATTGCAGTACCAAATTTCTTTAACTTTTGAACTGAACATGTTGGTTGACCAAATAAATGGCTATCTCCAAGCACGGCCATAGAATAAAGATACAAATTTATATTTACATACTATATTATACTTTTTTATGTTTATATATTTGATTTATTTATACAATTATATCATGCTTCCAAGAGAGTGCATATCAAGGTATCGCAAATTCCTTATTTTTTGCTATCAAAACGTCGAAAATGTGATCAATTAGGTATTAAATTCCCCCCTCTATTTCACTACAAGCTAGCTTATACAGAGGAGTAATCAACTCATGTATTATATTGTAAGTACTCATGTTTATACCTTGTTATCTTTGTTGAATTAAATAAAATAAATAAATAATTACAATTATTTCCACATTCAATTTTGTTCTAAGGTGAAAATAATTTTACCACGTTTAGAATAGGTAAATAAAATTGTCTGTCCAAATTTCAAGTCTCTACAAATAAAAATATTTGTTTTTATTTTTAATTACAATAAAAAAATAAAATTGAAAATAATAATAACATTATTTCCGTAAATTGTCTCGTTATTTCTGTTTTGCTCAATTATTAAAAAAACTATAAAAAAATTAATCAAAAAACGACGCACAAACGAACTGCAATAGAAAAATAAACAAAAAAGTCTTTTACTTTTCTATTGGAGCAATATTTTTGGTATAAAACATTGTGCGTAAAAATTTAAAATAATGAAATCGTACACCGTAAATTGTTCGTTAATCATATTTCGTCTTTTTCCGGTTTTCCCATCACTTATTATGAAAACTATTTGGAAAATTAGATAATGATTTCCATAGTATGCAACTAAAACCAAAATTCAACAAAAAAGATCAATTCGCATTTTAAAACAATATTCCTGGTAAAATAACGTAGTTCGTAAAAATTAAAATGTCGTAAATATTTGCTGTCTTTCTGATAAATTTTTTCCGGTTTTTCCAAATTAACATGAAAACCCCTTGAAAAATCAAAAAATTATCTCTTCGTGTAGAAACTAAATAACATTTCCTTTCAGAAAAAATGCTACACTTGATACATAGAAGCAAAACTTTTGTTAGAAAAGTTGCTCATAGACACAAAAAATAAAAATCAATAGATCCCTGATTTCTTCGCTACTCTCCAAATGTATAAAAAAAAAAAAACTAAAAACTCGCATCATAGTAAAGGCAATAGATCCTTTGCTCCGCTTAGAATCTAAAAATATACCACATTTAAACTAGGTATATTGATTACGATTATCATATGAAATACCGTGTTTTTTTTTTTCCATCCTGCAGTATAATAATAGAGCATAGAATAGTACAATACTATAGTAGTATACTATATAGTATATTGTACAAATATTTTTTTTTTTTTTAAAAAAAAATATACAATCTGTAAATAGTATTTTACAATAAGCATATGTGATTAGATAATATAGTTTGTTTATGAATGGCTTGATTGAAGGAACTACCCAATAGTAGTACTTATGAAGTGGATTTTATGTCTTTGATTTTCAAATTACATATTTAAAAGGTCTATACCAGGTTCTTTTAAGCCTTCTCGGTGGGTTTCCAGTGATGTTGGCTGATTCAAGGGTGAGGATCAAAGGGTTTGAATGGTATGCTAGTCAAGAGCGAAATATCTTGTACGACGATTTTGCAACCTCTGAGACAGTTTGAATTTTCAATGTTTAAGAGTGGAGCGTATGGCTCGGTACGTAGAAAGGCGCGTTTGTAATCATACGTAATGTTATCGATTGAAATGTTTCTAATTTATTTATATTTGTTTTCTTAACAGCACCCCATAGATGGATACCAAAATAAGACACATATAATATTAAAACACAAACCATTCGGTAATAATAATATCATAGGTAGGTATAGTTTTAATACCAACGCTAAATTAGTTATCACGATAATAACTGGTCAAGATCAATAGTTGAAGTGTGGGCGGTAATAATGTGCAATGTGTAACATTTTTTCAGAACGCATTTTTTATAGAATAATTTACTATGAAGCGATATCGATGTATTTTTAATATCTTAAAATCCCCAGAATATTCTTATCGTACCTGTATAATGATCGTGTATAAACCGGTGATTTGTCAATAATATTAAATATGCTTTGTGCGTTTACAAATTTACAAATTGTTACAAATAGCATGTTTTTCCAGCCCATCCTTCAATTGGACAGCAATATTACATTTTCAGCCTAAATAATCTCGAAAATCTTTAATCATATGTCTGTGTCTCTGTCTAATGTTTACTGTCTTACTGAGACTCCAGTAATTGTATATTGTATATTATTCTTCAGTTTATTCGGATGTTTTCAATAGTTATGAACAGCTACACTAAAATGGTCGGTGAAACATGTTGTTCATAATATTATACGTAGGTGCACTATAATCTAATTCATATAGTACAAATAAAACAACAGTATACACGTTAATGTAAAAATACACAAAACGTTACAAACTGACAATCTCGTTATAGTTTACAATAATAGACTGAACATGTTTCGTTATAGCGTATAATTTGTGTATATTAAGAATAATTAAGTATAATAATAAATTATACTCTTTGAGAATTATGTTGAAATATATTATTGTATTTACTGTTTAGTATTCAAGATTAAACTACTAACATTATATTTCTTTAACATTACAATAGTCGTAATAGTATAAACGAAAGATTTAGCCATGTTAAATTAGACAATATAATATTTAATATTTATTGTACATTCTATAATACCTATGTTAAAAATTGAAAAATGTTGATCGTTTTTTAGAACGCAAAATGATTAATCACTTTTAGATGTAATAGGTATGACAATACAAATTTATTTTGACTAAACACCGTCACCTACACAACAAAAATCATTCCCATAAAAGTGATCTCACCCAGGGTTACTTTATACGAGGAAATTAATAACAAGATGGCATATATCTCGATTTTGTTAATAAATCTTAATGGTGTATGAAAAATTCATTATTATAATCTGCATAATTACAGACAAATAGTTTGTCATTGTTTCAATTGGGAATACAGTTGAAAAAAAAATGTATGATACAATCGAAAAATAGTAAATAAATAATATTTATAATTTTAATGTATTTTAAGTTATTCTAATCTCTCGTTAATAGTATTTTAATTGTTATTATTTTATTTTAAGTTAGCATGACTATGAGAGATAGAAAACAGTTAATTTAATACTTAGTTGAAATCAATAGTTAAATCACGATGTATATTTAGTGAAGCCAATTTATTTAAGAGGACGTTACACATGCATTATTTTGTGGTTTCGTAAGACAAACAATATATAGTAAAAACATGCTTACGCAGACTACACAAAACTAGCTTGGTTTTGGTTTTAAAGTAAAAGCACCCATTATGAAATTAACATAGAACAATATTCCGGAGTACAAAACGTTGCGTTTCCTTTTGGAAACATTTTTTTTCTTAAAGTTTTAGCGAATTAAAAAAACGTAAAAATTCGTTATTTATAAACAGTAAATTAACTGTTATATTCGGAGAAAACGGAAAAAACGCAACGTCCTGTCCTCCAGAATATTATTATATTTTGATTTTATAACGGGTGTTCTTCTTCTAAAACCAAAATTAAGTGAGTTCTGTGTAGTCTGCGTAAGCGTGTTTTAACTGCATCAAGCGTTTGTAAGACGGAAACAGCACGATTTTGCATTATTCGTACCCTCGTAGTAATCACGTAAAGGTATAATGCGAATTGCAATATAAACGATTATAATTTCATTTTTCAATGGGTGAAATTAAATTCTAATTTAAAGCCGTTTCACTGGTCGGGCACAATACAATGCCAATAATTAATAAACCGATCGCGAAATCGGTCGTTTTCAGTTAATCGGGACCTTAATTCTATGAAAATGTATGTTTTTAATAGAATATTGAATAAAATATTAAATTACGAGTAACATCGCGGGACACAGTTCACAGAAATCATCTACGACAGGAATTCGACTTGCTTAATTTGTTTGAACGCCAATTAGTGTCGTATTATATTAATATACGATATAGCATATATTATTTATCAATATATATCTTCATATAATTGTATTTTTACAAATTGGAAAGTAATAAAAAATCATCGCATTCGAAGTCCGGAATTTTATAACTATATAGGATTTATAATACTGCAGGTTTTACATATTTGAGTTACCGTGAGAAAAACAAAATTTACATTATTTTTTTTTTAAATGTTTCTTGGACAAATGTAAAAAATCTCTAGTAGTCGTTCTGTTAAAAATTTAAAATAAATTGTACACACATCATAAACTATTCAACAAAGTCTGATTCATTTATATTTAATTTACTCTTTGCTCCGTTTAAATATACGAGTGAAGGATGCAAAATCGATGCGAGGGCACAACATTTAAATAAACTCTTCTTCGTCCGGCCCTTATTTTGACCCCGTTTGTTAAAATGTATACATTAGAGTTTACTTAAACCTGATGCCCGAAAAGAGTTAATGATGTTAAAAGAGCATTTTAAGATATCCTTTAAATTAATATTCAGAATAACATAAAACTTCGCTTTTATTTTAAATATATTTTGCTATTTCTAATTGTTATTTTACGATTGAAATGTGATATAGGTGCCAAAATTAATGTTTATTAATTAAATTTATAAGTTATACCGATAAATGTTCCTGAATTTATTTTTCAAAATAGTCCATTCTCAAAGTTTTTCCATTAAATTCTGGAAAACCGTGAAGATATTATATAGAATTGCAATATAACTATACCTAAATTTAAAAAAGAAAAAAAAAAAAAAAAAAGAAGAATATTATTAAATTATTAAACAACGAATTAATATTCTGATTATATATATTTATGGATACTGAAAATACGAAGAATTTGCTAAAATCAAATCTGTTATAAACAAATATTATCAAGGTAGTTGGCTGATATTAATTCACTTGCGTGGTCTAGGAAGAGGGGCTCCGTACTTAATTTCCATGGATAGTTTAGATATTTAATAATATTTTAATAAAATAGTGAAATAGATTGTAAGATCGTAAAATTGGATGTGCGTACATTTTATGTTATATAATTTCAATAAAAAAAGACGGATATACATTGCACGTGAGTGCAGCCACTGTTGTAGGTGGAAAGTTGTGAAGTTAAGATACAGAAGGGAATTTAATGTATAGCTATAATCGACGATAAATCGTTGCTAACGAAAAAACGATTGTGAGCGGTGTTCAGTTGATAGTGATGTTTAAGTATAGACTAAAGAAATATAATATAAAAATTACAATAGTTAAAAGAATGTATTAAAATCGAAATGTATTTTATTTTGATATAGCTCGATCTATACATTGTTTTTTTTTAACAATGTGCGTTTCCATGACAACAATGATTGTTTAAAAAAGCTTAAACTAATAAAAACTTATTAAAAACGGTTGCCGATGACAAACTATTTTTTAATCTTTCAATCTCTTTTAACCTTTTTTAAAAGAACCAGGTTTTCCTCATTATATCGAATATTAATTAAAAATTTTAAAAATGACCTCTCTAAATACTACTCAGAGAACATTTCCTTTCAGAAAAGTTGCTATACTTAACAATCGGAGTAAGTTTTCTGATAGAAAAAGTGTTCACATAAAAAAAAAATAAACATCATTGTAAACCAATACATTCCTCGCTCCGCTCAGAATCAAATGAATACATTATTCATTAAAAACCTATGCAATCATAAAATTATAACAAGAGAACATTTTTCGATTTTTGCAGCTCATTTTTTGCTAATATGCATAATAATATAATGATTTATTTTATTTTTTTATAAATAGTAGATAAAATCTGTTATTTATGTGATTCCATAAGAAAAATATTTACATTTTCGTTTAATGTTATAATTTATTTTTAAATATCCTGACGTACTGATCCGTCGAACGGTCTACATTTATGACTTTTTATCGGTTATATTTATATATTTAAAAAAATTAAAAACTGAAAAAAAAATACATTCTCTTTTCACTATTTTTTTATGTTTTTATGGCACATTATAGCTTATTTTAAGACTTTTTAAGTCATAGTAAAACGTTTATTTTAAGATTTGTTAAGCCATATTATAGCAGATATTTCAGTTATTTTCGGTGCTATAAAATCCTAGCCCGGTATTCTGGACTAATATTTGATTAATAACACGTATTTGTTATTTTAAAATAAACCGTTTAAAAATCAATAAAGCTGTTTTTAATTGTTTTGTATATAATTACGATAGTATAGAACTGTATAAACGGATAGTTGCAATAATAATAATTGTAATAAAAATAATACAAATTTAATATTTATTTAGGACATAAGATTGATGGGGATAATTATGTGAAGTTAAACACCAGTTGAACATAAAATAGTATATAATTATAGATATCTGGCCTTCTACGAAATCGTTATACTGTGGTTAAAACACGGACAGAGTTATAAAATTACAACCATTGAAAAAACAACGTACGGTTACAATATCTTACATTATAGTTCGCTATATAAAAACAATTACAGAAATTATAACTACATAATATAATATAACTGTAAGTACCTGCAGTTGGCGGATTGAACTTAATTTTTTAACGACGTAATCTCATAGTTAAGTATTACCACCACCGCCATCTTATCTCTACCCTCACACGCATACACAGTTTCCAAATGGCTCATGATAAAATTAAATTCATACTTATATTACACAGGTAAATGTATAAATTTGTATGTGTATTTCTTTTCACACCTATTCGCGTCAGAATTCGATAAAATTTGACAAGGGCCAAGGAGATAGATTGCATCCTGACAAAGAACGTAATAGATTACATTTTGTCTAAAAATATTAGATTTCTTACGTTACTGCGGTGGCGATCAGTTTTTACATTTTAAAATACATCAAATTAGCTGTGTTAATTGTTTTTGTTACCTTGAGAACACGGATAAAAAAAATGCATACGTAGATATTAAGTCTTCTGAAGGCAGATACACTATAATGTAGTATTATAGTATATAGGTGTATGATAAAATCGCACACGTTCAATGCTATTATGATAACCGATAATAACCTGAATATTAGAATATTAGATACGCACACTATTAATATTAATAATCCTACTATCCAAGCCTACCCGACACCATGCAACCACCGTCCACCACCTCTTAATATGTTGACGAAACTGAGTCGAATTTGAGTTTTTCGGCCCACCAATGGGTACTTAAATAAATATAATATAATCATTCAATTTTTTCGAAAGTCAAAATGATCGGATCATTGGGTGTGAGAAATACGGATCTCGGTCTTATTTTGATCGGAGATTGTGTTTTCTTGGATGGCCTTACTTCAAATTTCGATATGATTTCCGCTAGTCCTATTTTGACTTCCATCAATGCGAATCGCATACCTGTAACGATATTAAATAAACATGAATAATATTATATAATATAATATAGCTACACCTAACCTCAACGTTTAAAATTAATATTATTTTTTATATTTAGGTATAGTACCTACTCAAAATCAAATTTATTTACCAATACATATCCTAGGGCCATCGCCAAACGGAAGAAACGTGCCGTGTGGCCTTAAAGCTTTATTCTCGTCGGTAAATCGTTCGGGATCGAAAATTTCTGGATTCGGATAATACTTTGGATCGTTGTGTAATGAATATGTGGGAATCAACAACTTCTCGCCGATATTTAAAGTTAAGTCGCTGTCCGGTATTGAGTACTTCTTAGTACACACACGGCTTAAAATGGGAACCGGTGGATGCAATCGAAACGTTTCTACGGTAGTTTATAAAAGTTATAAATATATTATTATAATATTTGAAATAAAACCGTATTAGGTATGCATGTTTTAGAAAGCTACACTAACCATTTATCACCATATCCAAGTATTTCAATTCTTTTAGCATATCGTAAGAGAGTTTTCCTTCGTTTTCATCATGTTTTTCTTTGATTATTTCTCGCAATTTGATTTGAATTTCCGGATTAATGGCTAACTCGTAAAGACAATAACTTAGAATCGAAGCTGTAGTTTCGAAACCAGCAACAAAGAATACAAATGAATTCGCAGCTAATATCTCATCAGTAAATAGTTCTGAAATATGATATAAAATAGAATTATATGTTTCCACAGATATCTATGCATGTGTACATAAATTTAATTTTACTATTTATATCTATACATCATGCTATATAATGCAATGCATTCAATAGAATAAAATAGTTCTAGTTTAGCATACTTAATGACTTTTTTTCATTCAAAATGTGTGATTTTGCGAGTACATTACTACGTAAAAAAAAAGTTCAGTTTTCCGTTACGTATATTTCTCAGTTAAAATTGAATTTTATAAAAATGTTTTTTTTCCAAATGTATATTTTTCATGCTTTGGCCATTAGTATAATCAAAACTTTTTTGAAATCATTATTAAATAAGAAGTTGCAAAGATGCGGGTTCGGAGGACAGCTCGCTACGCCACCGATTTCGCACAATGGCTCGAATACCCGACATATTTTATTAAGCTGACTTGTTATACAAACTTAATGATAAGAAAGTTTTCATTAGTACCATAGCCAAAAAAAATGTTCGGGGGGAACTCTTCATTTTTTATCTAATTTTTGTTAAGTCAAAATACTTATCACTCCCTTATTTCCCTATCAGTTATTATTTTTAATACATGAACTAATGTGAATTTTTTATTCTATTATATATATCATATACAGTATATCTGAAAAGTTCCTGAACTAAATAGCGTTATATCTCATATAAAAAATACATCATATAGTAAAAAATTCTTAACGAGTATCTGTACAAAATATCAGCATGTCTGGTTTCTTCAATCCCATATTATATTCAATTGTTTACGGTATATGTTCCGAGTACCTTGTACGAGCTTGCAACATGGAACAAAGAAGTGCAAAACAATATTGCGTTCGACTTCAAAAATGGTTTACGGATACTTATTCTATGATACAACAAACATTCGGCGATGAAGGCACATCTCGTACTACAACGTTATTGGAAGCGATTTAAAAACGTTAGAGTCTTTGAGTGATGACGATGAACGAAGTGGAAGGCCATCAATAACAGTTCACGACGAAAATGGTTCGAAAGTGCGTGCGCTGCTGCTCGAACAATCTCATCTTATCCTTCGGATCATATCAGAAAAGCCTAATGTCGGTAAAGACACAGTACGTACAATTTTAAAAGAAAAAATGAACTGTTGAAAGATTTGTCTTCGTTTTGTTCCACATTTTTTAACCGTTGAACAAAAACAGACGCATTTCTTGCAGCAGAGACTTCATTGAATCCGATTTGGCTCCTGCAGATTATTTTTATTTCCAAAGCTCAAGTTGAAGATGAAAGGTCACTTTTTTTAAGACATTCCGGCGATTCAAAGACCTTGTTCAGAGCAGTTAAAGGCAATTCCACAAAAATGAACTATCCAAGGCGTTTAAACAACGGCTTTACCGATGCTGTAACGAGTGAATAACTAGACAAGGACTTTGTGTAACCAGTTGAATAAATTCGAATGAATCTGTGTTTTTATTTAATTTAGTTTGGGAATTTTTCAGGCATACAGTGTATAGTGTAATCCAGTACCAAATAATGAAGACAAGAATTTGGGTGTGCCCCCAACGGCTGTTATCGGGATTTTAAAAATGTATCAGTTGCCCCTAACCAAATGCACCAGTTGTCCCAAACCGAATGTACCAATTGCCATCACATGTTAATATATACGGGATTACAATATATAGCCCGTAAAATAAGGGAGATAAATATTGCATATTAAAAATGCACTTCATAAAAAAAGAGTATAAAATGATAGAAAACAATTCATATGCTTACAATAATATATATTAATTCGTATTTATAATTATAATTATAATTTGTGAAAAAAAAAATTTAAAAAATTAAATATATTATGTTTTGTAATGATAATTACTTACAGATTTTATAAAATTTTCGGTACTGACTTTTTTAAACTTTAGAAGCTACATGGATACTTAATTCGAATTGGGATACAATTGACGGATTGATTCAAGTTCAAAGCCAGAGCATTTTTATTTCAACATATTAGATAATAATGAAAACACTAATGGAATATAATGTCCATTTTTGACACAGTGCATTGTAAAAAGTTGTAAAAAAATTATTAAATTTTAAATAATTTTATATTTTATTGATTATTTGTACATTTACCTTTCCTATTTTACGGGCTATATATTGTTATCGTGCATATATTTACATATAAGGGCAACTGATACATTTTGTTCTAGATAGTTTGGGGGGAATCGGTATAAAAAAAAAATAGGAATATAGGCAATGTAGTTGCAAATTCGTGGGAACTCAGTGAAGTCACCGAGATTCACAGTAGTAGCCATCCCGCATTATTATCGTTCACAGACTATAGTCTAGTTTTTGTTGTAAATCAAATTCGTGGAATTTTAAATATTAAACTTGTAAAGCCGTAAACTTGTTACTTTTTCACGCACACCTTGTTCTACGATAATATGTTTACCTAGTTTACCTACTGTTATATAATTACAGATACCAACTGTAAACTAAACTGTAAACAAATTTCAAAACTACTATTTACTAAATATTTACTTGTTCCGTCCTTGTTTACTTGTTCATCGTCTTTTAATTTGACCAAAAGTGAAATAAAATCGTTACGATTATTTTGTCCAGTTTTATGTTGTTCCATAGTGGTTTCTAGTACGTTGCCGAAGAATTCATAAATATGGTCGGGCAAATCACACAACCTAAATACATCGAGAAGCCAACCGAAATCAACAAGTCTGATGAAATTTAGTATTGCTGATCTACGCGTCGGTATAAATATATCTCGTCCGGTACGTCGAAATTCTGAATCCGGATTTGATAATGCGTTGCATTCAAGTCCAAAAGCACAACGGCCAATAGTGTCGGTTGTGAACTGAGCCGACGCTTCGTTCACATCAACAACTCCTGTAAAACAAAATCTGTGATTAAGTACTGTTATCGAAAACGCTCAAGACAATAATATCTTTATTTTCGATTCTATAAACAAAACGAGAAAACTGTACGCACGTACATACAATTTTGAATTTCACTAGTTCAAAAATCGATTATTAATTTATTTGATTAGTTATTTATATATAAAGACTAGATGGGTATTTTTGAATGTCTGAAAATGATGTTTATCTTATTATCGATGCCCATATCTAAATCGAATATGTTATCGATTAACACCTCGGATAAATTATTTATTATTTTTTTTTTTTTTTAATTTATTGAAAAATGTTTTCTTTCAACTTTTTAAACATTATAGTTCAGATATACTATCGTATAAACACAAAGAAATACAAAGATGAATAGGTGCGCAAATAATATTATCGTAGGTGGGTATGGTGTAGGTATTGAACGTAATCACTTGAAAAAATTCAAGGCTATTCAAATAATTACATTTTGTTTATTTTATTTTTTTTTTTCATCCGTACGATTTTTCAAAACGTTATTTATGTATGGCGTACTTATACAAATAATTGTACTAATTACATTTAATGTTTGAAAATATCAATCAAGTGCGCTCGATTGAGGAAATCGGACTATTACTGAAACAAATTCGAGGTCGTCTTCTGTTTCAGTTGGAAATCGGGTACACGTAATATTTGCTCATTATACAAAACACCGAAGTTCGATTTTCCGCAAATTCGTTGTTTCCAATACAAAATGTTTACATAAACGATATTATGCATATTTTGTACGCTTATTTTATCGAACGATACGAAAATTAAAATATATTTTAGTATGTACCCATTATAATGTGATTGTACGGTATTAATTCCGCCGGAAAGCGATTATCAATTATTATCGTTATTTTTTTCTAAATACAAAGTATTTCTATCCAGTTTCTAGACAAGTGTTTGGCTACCGCGCGCAGTTCATAATCCTCAATACGATCTATAAACGAATAACTACGGATATAATACACACACACACACACACACACACACACACACCGTTATTGGTCGTTATCTGTCCGTTCAGGTTGTCGATCAACCGTTCCGTGCACTCGTTCATGTCGCCCATCATGGACTTGAGCTTGGCGGACGAGAACGTGGGGCTGAGTTTGGCCCTGACCGCTTTCCAATGTTCGCCCCGGAGGTTCGCTATGTGATCGAACAGCTTGTCGTGCTTGAACGACACCTTGCTGGCGTTCCGGTCGTAAAAATGCGCAAAGCTTCCGACCATGACGCTGTGCACCAGCCCGGGGTCGCGGACCACCAGCACCGGCTTGCGCGCCTCGTAAATCCCGAAATACCGGCACCCGTCGAACTGGCCGTAAAGCGCGTGCACCAGATGGACGAGCGGCACGCGCCCCATGACGACGTCGGTCAGATGGCCGAGCAACGGCGTCGGCCCGCCGGCGTGCGGCACGCCAAGACGCCTCCACTTGCCGTGGTGGTACGTCGAGTACGCGTAACCCAGTAGGACGGCGGCGGCGGCGACGGCGGCCGCGAGGGCCACGGACGGATGGAAGACCGCCGCCGGCCAGGAAGTCGCGCTCCAATCGACGGCCATTGCGGACGTATCGTTAATAATCACGGCGGCAGACGCAGACGACGGCGGTTACTGCGGTCCGTAACGCGACGCTGCGCGATGACGAGTGTGGAGCGTCGGCCGTCCGAACTGCCCGCGATGATGAGTCGCCGCGGCGGTACGCGGACGTTCAAGTCTCGCGTGTTCGCGTACGTACGCCCGGCCGGTTATCGTAATCTCTGTGTGTGTGTGTGTGTGTGTGTGTATACGTACTAGGCGGGTACTACACCGATTAGACGAGCCCCGGTCGACGGGCGGGGAGCAACGTAAGGTCCGCGTTTCGCCGCCCGTCACGAGACAAATATCACGGGAGCTGTTTGTACGCGCGAACGTCGTCCCAATAATATTATTACTGTCCGGCGTAGTGCGTCACGGCGATACGATTATTGCGATAACACATTACCCCGTCGCTCCGTGCGCCGAGCGAGGACAGCGCGTCCCGCCCGCGCGAACCGGCCAGCTCCGCGGTCCCGGCGGTCAAATTCACCGGCCGCGCGGTACTATTTCGCGGTTCTCGCGGCGGAGAACGGAGACGCCCGGTCACCGTTGTGGCGATGACCGACGAGCCGCATAACGAGTCGGCATAATGTCGGCCGGTCGCGGCGGTGCCCGGTGGGCGCGTGACTCATTCGCTATTTACGGGTTTTCGTAGAAACGTCGAAACGCGTCGTCCGCGTCTTGTTGCGAAAATTACGCCGTCGTCGTTTGGGCGGACCACCGTCAAGGATTTTAAATTGTTTCGGCGAGTCGGATAAAACGAACATATTCACGCGCCGGCCTACATTCTACAATGTCCGGTCGGGCGAGGATTTGTTTGTTTGTTTGTTTGTTTGTTTTTTTTTTAAACATTTTAGAACTCCGGTCGTACCGAGAAATGCAATAGTTTTACTTGCCGGTATACGATGCGTGCTTTTGTCATTATTTGTTTATTTGTATACATCTGTAAACAAGAAAGCTGCGTGCTACGGTCGAAAATTAACAAAAAGATTTATTTTTCGTGGCATTTTGTGCCCAGTCGGTACACACGAATAGGTGAATTTTTCTGAAAAAACCGTTGGGAATACAGGAATGTTGAAGGCACAAATTGTTTCGTAACTATTATCCTATTATTATGGCTCAAAATACTTACTTTTTATGTGAGCATTTTAGGATCGTGTTTTGACGAAAATCGTAAATATTGCGACATTTCAAAACATGTACCTTTATACACCTACTCAAACTTCGTTTAAATTTGTATTTCGTTAGTAATAAAGTCTATCGTTGCTTACAGCTGATATTAATTGAATAACTTTATACATTCTAGATTTCTAAATTCTCACCTACAAGTTACAACAGTGGCACGACCATCAGTAGTATCAGCATTTTTTTTAAAAAATATTATAAATATATTTTTTTTCTAAAAGAATTAGGACTCGTACGTTAAAAATTATACGCATATATTATGTATACTGTACACTATACATACATATATATTTTACATAAAAAAATAACGAAAATTATTTCAGTAGTTGATTTATATCTATAGGCAACGATTAATCATTGCTAATGAAAAACGAATCCGAGTGAAGCTCGGTAAATAATAATGATTTTTAACATGTACGTTTTAACGACAGTAACGATTGTTAAAAAAATATTAAGATTAAAATAATAAAAACTTAGCAATTACAAAAAATAAATAAAAACGGTTGCCAATGGCAACCTTACTTTTAATCTTTTAATCTTCTTTAACCTAAGGAACCCGTTTTTCCTCGGTATCTCGAATATTAATGAGAATTTCAAAAATTTACCTTTCTCAAGCACCAACTAGAGCTAAAATTGAACAGGTCAATTCCCATTTGTTGAGAAAACTTCTAGGAAAATTAAAATATTACGTTTTTTTTAAATTAGTGCCCCAGTCAGATTTCCTTTCAGAAAAAGTGCTATTATTGTCAATTGAAGCGAAATTGCTGGTAGAACAGTTGTTCACAGATAAAAAATAAAAATGAAAACCTTTATAAAACCAATACATTCCTTGCTCTATTCAGTCTAAAATATACAAACCATATGAAATTAAATAAAAATAATATTTATAGACTCTGAGGGCAGCATAGGCCGCGAGTTGGTCACACCTGATGCGATCTTGGTCCGGACGTTTAATATCCTCTGGGTCTTAAAAATTTTAAACGTCGTCAGAAATAGGGCTCCGCAATTACTTTTTTTTTCCACAATAATCGATTATTCTAATAGTATTCGATTATAATCGATTAATCGAATAACCGAATAATCAAATAATCGGATAACCGAATAATCGATTAATATTCGATTATTCAATATTGCACGCTCCGACTGCCGACCGGGAGAGTTCCCAATGCGGTCAGTCACTGTTTGTGCTCAGCCCTATCGGACCCCTGGGTGTCTGCAATACAGGCACTCCGCGTCTGGAGCACGTCCCTTTGAGTTTAGGAACTTAATATGTTGTTATGTCAGCAGTCACCAAGTTCTTAGTATATTAATTTTAATATATAGCCACTGGCATAAGTCGTTTTTTTAATAGTTTCTATAGAAATTTGAAAAAACTAAAAACGGACGAAAAATACGATTTTTTTTCAAATTACAGCACAGCGTTTTAATTATTTTAAATTTTGACTGCTTATGTTTTCAACAAAAAGTATTGCTTCAATAGAAAAACAACAATAGACATTTTTTGTTGCATTTTTAATTTAGTTGGTGATCAATAAAGTCGTTACATGATTTTTTTTGTAGTTTGTTTAAAAAATTCAGCAAAACCGAAAAATGCGTAAAAATAACTGGACAATTTACGAAAATAATTGTTCTATTATTTTTAATTTTGTTTTTTTTTTTTTTTAAAAAAATTAAAAGTTATAAATATTCGATTTTTGATAGAAAAATTATATTATATTTTTTAATTTTAATTTTATTCATTTATAATTTTCAAAATTAAGCCATTTCTGAGCTATTATAATAGTAATTTTAATTTTACTAGTGTTATACGTAATTTTTATTTGGTAGGTACTCTGTGAATACAATTATTAGACTAAAGAGAAATTATTCAAAATTTGACAGGTTTATTATAAGTAGTATAAGTGGTACTTAGTGGTTAACAAAAAAATTTGAGTGTCATATATTATTTTTAATTTTTTATAAATGTTTTAAAGTTAAATTTTGATGAGAATCGTAAATATTACGGCCTTTCAAAACATGTACGAGGTCTAACCAATAAGTAATGAGACTAATTCAATAAAATACGTATATTTAAATATTAAGATACATCGATGTGATCCCCTTCAAAGTACTCCCCTCCCACCCCTATACACTGGTTCCAACGTTTTTTCCAGCTCTCATAACATTTCTGGAAGGCTTCGACTGGAATGTCCTGAAGTACCCTCGTCACGGCGTTCTGGATGTCAGTTATGGACTCAAAATGCGTTCCTTTCACGGCCAATTTTGTTTTAGGGAACAAAAAGAAGTCGCAGGGTGACATATCCGGCGAATAGGGCGCTTGTGGCAACACTGCGATGTTCTTAGAGGTCAAAAATCGCGACACACTGAAGGCACGATGGCATGGAGCATTGTCATGATGAAGGTACCATCTTTGCACACAGCTTTTTCATGGACAAATCATCAGTTAAAATTTTTCTGACGGTTTCTCGTTTCAAATTAAGTTCATCAGCCAACATTCGAACGGTTAAACGCCGATCTTGATGCACGAGAGTGCGCACACGCTGAACATTGTTGTCAGTTCGAGCTTCAACCGGTCTCCCACTTCGCGGTTCATCCCCGACGCTTTCACGACCATTTTTTAAATTTTTACGCCATCGAAACACCTGAGCATGACTCAGGGCTTCATCACCGAACACTTTCACCAATTTATCGTACGTTTCCGTAACGGAATCGCCGAGTTTAACGCAAAATGTATATTACGTTGTTCCATATTTGTGACACGCCTTACAAACACGTTGTCGAAAACATAACACAACTGGAAAACTAATTATTGTACGAAAATTGCGAGCATATGTACAGATAGAGGAGGGATGAGACATTAACCGAACGAAGTTTCAGATTCGCAGTGTTACCACAAGCGTGGCAAAAAAAACAGTCTCATTACTTATTGGTCAGACCTTGTATAACCGAACTTCACGTTTGTTTCGAATTGGTTACAGGAATAATAAATAACTTTAAGCATTTTACCTTACCAACTACCCACCCACAACAGTGGCCGTAGCCGTCCCCAGTATCAGCTTTTTTATTTTATTTTATTTTATTTTTTTCTACATATAATGTGTAACGAATAAAACACTAGCGTTAAGGTGTATAGTTGATTATTTGAAATTAGTGTTAATATGTTTTATATTGTGTAGCTATAGCAATGATTAATTTTGTAAAAATGTTATTTTTCTGTTTTTTAATTTGCGCTTTCATTACTACCTAGCTGTTATGATGTGTGCTTCATACAGCTCTTGTAATAAATTCTCTCCAGCTATTGATGGAATAAGTTACAATATTATAATATCTTATAATGTAGCAAATCCGAAAAATAATAAATGTTTAAGACGTGTTTAGGTATGACATATCAGAATAAATATAAAACAAATTAGATACTTCAATAGGTAAATATTATATAATATTGTATTTTACATAGCTTTATGCTTCCTAAAAAATGTAAATTGAATATAATTTATATTAAAACAAAATCTTTTCCGTACATTGAAAGCAATTTTGAAACAAACAACTCGTTAAAATCTAATCATAAAGCTAATGAGTCAGACGTTATTATATATATTAAAAAAAAAAAAAAAAAAAAAAAAAAAAAAAAAAAAAAAAAAAACAGCATACTTAATAGTATGGAAAATATAGAAAGTCACTTTTCATTGCACTTCTGTTTAAACCGGAATAATTATAGGATATAATATTTATAAAACAAATAGGTATTTCAGGAATATAACCATATATCAATGATACATATATTTTTTTCATTTTACAGTATAATGGGCCCTACTGAGCATCCTCCTGAAGGGGCTCCGTGTAGGTAAATTATACTAGTTATAGGTTACATTTAAAATAAGATTTGAAGAAAAATCTCAAACAAGGTTGATAGTATTTGACTCGGGTCTCTCATATTTCGAAAATAATACCTACCCAATAATAATGCAATAATATATATATATTTGACGATAGCCATCTAAATTCGAACAATACCACATAATCAAGTTTTATTAAAAAAAAAAAAAAAAAACCTTGACTGATGTAACTGTCTTTTCCTATAATATTTGCATAATTATTTAACACAGAATTGATATTTGAATAACAATCGTCGAAAATTAGCACACAACGAGAAAAATATCTATTTTCGTATCTCAACCGTTTCTTCTTCAAATTACACTATCGCACTACTATACAGGAAATAAATATAAAAAATATAAATGGTCTGATTATTTCGGTTTTCTTCCATCAAAATGATTCTGATAGAAAATACCGGAATAACAAACGTTGAAATCGTAACGTTATGTTAACAAGGGTGGAAAATCGAAATGAGCTCATTCCAATTTTTATTGGTTCATGCATTGTAAATGATGGTAGCGATTCTATCCTTTATATAATACTAAATTGTTATATTTATATATAGACCATAAAACATATCGATGCACTCTATCAGCATTGACTAGGAGCTTGTCAAATAAAATATTTAATAAAGTAACTTTGACGAACATTGAAAAAATTAAAAATGTGTACTTATAATTTTTCGAAACAAACATAATAAGCATACAACATTTAAATCCATTTTTTCTACCTGAAAATATTTTATAATTAAATTCATACAGCTGAAAGTCACCTAATAAAAATGAAAAGACCGCCAAAGGCCTATTTATTTAGCTCGCGATACTGGCGTAAAACTTTTAATATTAGGAATACGGTATATACACCAGAAGGGAACCGAATAAATAACACGAATTAAGGTGTTAAACCATTATTGAAAAAAAAAAAAAACGGATATTGAGACATTTTTCATTGTTCTTTTTACAATTCAAGCACTTGACAAATGATTGAACGTTTGTCTACTATCTAGTTAAAGTACCTATAGAAAGTAAATCGTCTTGTTTCGTGATATATAATTTAATTAAAAGATTGTGATTATCATAAAATAAAAATTACGCTAGTATAAATAAAACGCTCGACGTTGGTAATTAGTCGGCGTACAAGTCTACTTACATAGTAATACAGTTATATAATATGCGTGTTTTTATTATTGATTGCATAGACACAGCGGTACGGTATTCGCTGTGAGCCCGCCGGGAATTAGGGTGTTTTCACGGCGGACCCCGAAGCAGTTACTTAATTTGTATTATTTATTCTAATTATTGTAAAATTTATTAAATGACTCGTGAATACAGTTTTGATTAATAAAACAAAAAAAAAAAAAAAAAAAACAGGAAAGTAAAGACGATACGATTGTCGTCATACGGAGGGGATAAAGTGACAACCACCATGGCACATACTCCCGCGGGGAAAAATGATTGCACACAATTTATGGAATCGTGTAGATTTTAATAGCCATCGAAATACATACACGATTGCGAAAATTTCTTATATATATATATGTACAAGATTCCGCGTGGTTTTAAACAGCACTTGAATTGAAAAAATAAAAAAAGGGGTACTCATGGCCTCATGGCTATAAACAAAGTTTTACAATGATGTTTATAATTTTTTTTTTATTTTAACAGAACTCCGCTCAGAATCGTTTTTTCGTTAGCAATGATCAATCGTTACTTACAGATGTACATTAAATTATCTATAACATAACAGTGGCTGCACCCGTCCATATTATCCTAGGACAGCTTTTCATTCATGTTCCTTGTCAATATCAATATCTATAATGTGTTATACAAGTTTACACTCTATACCCAACCCATGAATGTTATTATTATAGATTTGTATGTTCAACTGTGCAATAAAGCGTGCCATAAAGTCATGAATTCGCATGGACTCTTTTTATTTTCGGTTTATAATTCAAATTTATTTTTAAATCTTGTTCCAATTGAAAACTAACAATTGAAAGCCATTGATTCTGTTCGCTTTAAAATCCAGCCACTGACAAAACCGGTCACTTTTTTTTTTATCTCAAGTACTTTTCATAATAATTGGGAAAAGAGGAAAAGATGAAAAATGATAAACGAACAAATTTACGGCATATGATTTCATTGTTTTAAATTTTGACGGCTTATATCTTCTACCATAAATATTTCTCCAATAGAAAAACAACAACAGACCTTTTTTGTTGCATTTTTAATCTATTTCGTGAGTAAGGTATTCACTTTTTTGATTTTCCCTGTAGTATTTTTAATAATTTAGCAAATCCAAAAAAAAAAAAAAAAACGGACAATTTATGGAAATAATGCTTTTGTTATTTTCAATTTTGTTTTATATTGTATTAAGTTTAAAATATTCGTAGATTTGAAATTTTGATAAAAAGTTATATTTGCCTTTTCTAGACGTGATAAAATATTCAAAACGTTTGAGCGATTTTTGAGTTAATTATATAGACATTTAAATTTTTTTAGTTTTTACGTAATTTTTATTTGGTGTAATTAACATCATTCATGCTTAAAGAGACTGTCAAGAGCATTAATTAATTTATATATATTGAGAAGCAAAATCGGAGTAAAAGGGGGACAATCTCTCCCTACTTTTTACCACGATGTCCGCCACTGGCGTACAGCCATTATTTTTTTTTTTTTAGTAATATATCACTGAACATCAAAATATCAAAATCAATACATATAAATGTGTCCATAAAGTATAAAATAAATTTCAATATTAAGTTGCATCGATTGTTTTAAAATAATGATAAATTGTTATAGCTGAAAAAAAAATTATCGATGTTCATGTAACCAGTCACATTTATATTAATTTAAATGCATCTATAACAGACGCAATTAAGCAACTAGACCACCAACCTTGAGGATGATAAAATTGTACACCTCACAGACCCATAAAGGCAATATCCCCACAATCCCCTTTAAATGATACTTATAATAAGCAACTACAAATTTTATTATATAAAAATGTAAGTATCATAACTTTTTAATTTATTGTTTAAATACACATGCATTGTCTATAGGTAATTTTTACTTTATTGTGCTTATAAATTACGAAATACATGGATTCAAAATTTAGTCTACAACTTATTGGGTATTTTTGGAGGTGCTAGTTTTAAACATGGAAGGGATAAAAACCCTCTAGCACTCTCCTATTGTTGCGCCTATGCAGTGACGATTGATATTAATGAAAGACTGTCCATAAAAGAAAAAAATTCAATAATTCTCAAAATAACATATGTTGTTGTTAAATCTCACCAAAAAACGATATTACCCGTTATACGGAACTACCCTAAATAATCCTTATGCACGTAGCTTTATAACTACTCAAATATGTTTCCATAAGTATGTAATATAATATATGTATACAATATAATAAATACGTTTAATTTAAAAAACAGATCTACCTTATATCAGTAGGAAATATCAAATATACTGTATATTACTAGCAGAAATACGAGAACTTCCAGGGCATCAATTCAACCAAAACAAATTCGTATGACTACGATTTCTATAAATACGTATTACGTAAACAAGGTTTATTTTCAATTTTAAACACTCGAAAAGTCGAAACTTTTAAAATTATTTTATAAAGTTAACATTTTCATACTGTTCACATATAGATGAATATTCGATATATACTCTAGAGCGCCATAAAGCGCATTATTTACTTGAAGAAGAGCGAGAAGTTCGAATT